ATATTTATTTTTTAGTTCTTGGCGGACACAACATCTTTATTTTTGTATGCGGTGCTGAGGATCGAACCCGGGTCGCACGCATGCCAGGCAAGTGTGCTACTGCTTGAGCCACATCCCCAGCCCCAAGAGAGAGAATTTTAATATTTATTTTTTAGTTCTTAGTGGGCACAACATCTTTGTTTTTGTATGTGGTGCTGAGGATTGAACCTGGGGCCGCACGTATGCCAGGCGAGTGCGCTACCGCTTGAGCCACATCCCCAGCCCACAATATGCATCTTTAATTTTATCAGCATACATTCTGAACAGGTTTATTTCACTTCTATATAGTGAACTAATTTTATGATCAAACATTTCCAATCTCTGCTCATTTTTCTTATTGGATGTATATAATGAGCCCCACAACACAGAATCATTACCTTCATGACTTTTCATCAATTTTCTTTTAAAGAAACTGAAAATGGGAAAATATACTTATTTATCTGCATATTTATTGTGTGTTCCTTCTGATTCCTTCATGGAAGTCTGAATTTGCCTGGTGTCCTGTCATGTTTTTTTCAGTTTCTTGGGAGTGCAGATCTGCTGGCTATATACTTTCTTATCCTTTTGTTTGTGGGAGGGCATGAAGATGTTTTTATTTTTTCTTCTTTTTTTTTTTCAGGGGTAGGATACCAGGGATTGAACTCAGGGACACTCGACCACTGAGCCACATCCCCAGCCCTATTTTATATTTTATTTAGAGACAGGGTCTCACTGAGTTGCTTAGTGCCTTGCTTTGGCTGAGGCCGGCTTTGAACTCGGGATCCTCCTGTCTCAGACTCCCAAGCCCCTGGGATTACAGGCGTGTGTCACTGTGCCAGGCTCATCTTCCTTTCTGAATGATTTTTTTCTTACTGGATACAGACTTCTTGTTAGACAGCCTATCTATCATCCACCCCTCTGTGTTACTTTCAGCTTTCCAACTTGTTCTTCCATTTGCTCTTATGTTACATTTTTCTTCAAAGGAGTCATTGGTCCTTTTTACTCTGTTCTTTTGCAAATTTTGCTTGTCTGTTTTCTAAGATTTTAATTAATTAATTAGTTCTAATTAATTAAATTATTAGCTCTAATTCATTAATTAATAAGATTTCAATTAACTTGTTCCCAGCAATTTGATTATGATGTGACATGGTATGGTTTTATTTTTGTTCATTCTTCTTGGGATTCACTGACATTCTTGGGAATGTGGATTGAACTTTTCATCAGATCTGGGAGAAACATTTCAGCCGTTGTTTCTTCATGCATTCCCACCCTTTTGAATTTTGGAATTGCAGTTGTGTGCCTGTTGGGCTGCTCAGGGTTGGGCTGAAGGTTGCTTTGGTTCTGTTCATTCTTTTTACCACCTGCCCCCATCAGCTTGGGGCATCAGATTGAGTTGCTTCTGTGACCTGTCTTCTAGTTTGATGATCTTCTCTTCTGTTGTCTAATGTGCTATTAAGCCCATCCAGTGAACTTTTTATCTTATATGTTAAAATTTTCAGTTTAAAAGCTTTGGGGTTTTTTTTTCGTAATATTTCCTTTTTCTTCAAATTATGTTCCTGTCTACTTTCGGTCCTTGAAATTATCGTTATTGTTTTAAGATTTTTTTCTCTGCTAATCTTGTCATCTAGACCATTTATGGATCTATTTTTACTGACTTTTTTTTTCTAGCTATAGGTGACATTTTCTTGCTTCTTTGTTGCCTAGTGATACATGATTGGATGCTAGACATGTGATTATCATGTTCAGTTGTGGATTTTATTGACTTCATTTAAAGAGTGTTGTCTTTTGTTCTCCAGGGATCTCCTTTATTTGGGGGAACAGTGCCATCATTTTAAACAATCTTCATGTTCAATACACTTTAGTTTAGGACTTATTTAGACATACTCCTAAGGCCTGAGATTTCTGGGTCTCCATGGGATGCTTGGATATTGAAGGAAATGTGGACAATCTGGCTACTTGGTACTTGAACATCTCCGAGTCCTGTGTGAACTCTTGTAGCTTTTCTTATCCTGGGGATTGTTCTTTACCTGGCCTGTGGAGTCTCACTCCATGTACGCACTGCTTAGTAGTAAGGCAAAGGTTTGTGGGGTCTCTATAGCAATTTCTAAGCCTTTCTTTGGGTGGTTTCTTCTTCTCTAGCGTTCTATCTCACAAATCCTGGCTAACCTAACTGCTCTGAACCCCAGTCTCTGTTTCCTTACTCAGCACGACGACTATGCTCTGCTTGAGCTTTCTTTTCCTGTGCCACCATCTAAAAAGTGTCCCTTACTCCCCAGGCAGAAAGTTGTATTTATGTAAGTGCACATAATTTTCATCTCTCCTTTCTCAGGGACCACAGTGCTATAATGCCTATTGTTTAATGTGAAAAAAATTGATTACCTTAATCCAGTTTTTTAATTGTTTATAAAGCTAGGCCTAGTTATTCCATCACAGACTGTGGAAGAAACCCCTTCATTTTAAAGCATCTGTACAATATTCCTTTGTGTGTACCAAATTTATTTAACCAGTTCATGATTGATAATACTTTATGTTTCCAATCCTTACCTTTTATAAACAACGTTGTAGAGGAGGTCACCATACCTAACTCATTTCTGAGTATATTTGTCAAGTGAATTCTCAATAGATTAAAGGGGGGCTAAATGGCATGTGCATTTTTACTTTTTTTTTTTGCATTTTTAGTTTGTTAGACATTTTTATATTGCTCTCATCAAGGGCTCTGTTTATATTTCCACCATTGATGTGAGTGCATATCTCTTTCCTACACTTTTGGCAACTTTTTGATCTTTACATATTTGGTGGGTAATCTTCATTTATTATGCATGAGGGTTGACATCTGTTCGTATATTTAAGAGCCATTAGTAGTTCTTTTCCTGTGAAATACCCATTCATAATATTTCCTCTAACTTTTGTAATTAAAAAAAAATCACACATAAATAAAACATAAATACAGGAGAGGGTTGCATTGGCTCTTTTAGGCCTCAACATGCTCAAATTTTAAAGCCAAAGCACTCGGTGCAAGTCAAATCAACAGCAAACAAATCTGAAGCACACAAATGGCTCTTTGCATATTGCAACCGAGCACTGAGTTGAGGAAGATGGAGGATACCCAAGGTAAGCATATGATTCCGTATTTGGATTAATCCAGGTGCAACCACCTAATGTAAAACAGGGGCGTGTGATTTATCAACACGAAGTGGGGCAGGAAATGCCAATCCACTGTTAGGACAGAAATGCTGCTGCTGCAAAGGGGAGGACTTCCCTGCAGAGGGCTGGTGAGCACTGGCCACTGGCTTCTATCCGTGGCTTTGTAGTTCTGGGAAGAAGTGGAAGCCCATCCAGAATGCCACAGGTGGGATGTGAGCGGAAGATGGAGATGAGAGATGGAGGTGCTGAAGACTTGGAACCAGATCTTGAGATCAGTGCTGGGAAGGATGAAGGGTGTCTAACAGGCAGAGAAGAAGTTCAAGGGTCTCGTGGATTGAGTCCTCAAAGCAGGTCAGACCTACCTATGGAGGAACACACTCTGCCCATCTCAAGAGGGAGGTCAACCATGGGGGCAAGCAGAGAAATAGATATCAGCCTTCTGTAAGGAAGGACCTTCCAGTGGACCTGTCCAAGGAGGATAAAGTCTTCCCAGAGAGTGGGAGTTCTCCATCATCAGAAAGATTCAAGGATAGACTCCATCTCTTCCACCGAAATGGGCTTCAAGCATCCTGCGGCTGGCTGGACTAGATGGCCTGCAATCTCTCTGATAATTCTGATGTCTTCTGTTTTTACACTCTCTCTACAGGCGAAGAAGACCAGGATCCAACAGAAGGACTTGCTGAGAGTTAAATGACTGGAAAGGGGTGAAGCCAGGCCCAGAGCCTTGTCTTGGGAAGTTAAGATGGGTTCATGTTCATCTATCTCCACTATGTAATCTTGAGACAAGACGGGAAAGACTCTGACATCCTGGATGAACCTGGGACCCACATTCAGTAGAACTGAGTGTGAATTCTGGTTCACAAATGTGCCAGTCAGATCATCCTCCTCAGTCTTAGTCTCTGTACATCAAGCATTGATGAGCCCTGTCCAGTCAGAACCCCCCACCCCCACCCCATCCTCAAGACTCTTACAGGATTTATCATCTGCACCAAGGGCTGCCTTCTCTTCTTATGATTCTACCTTGAAAGCATGTGCTGTGAGGGTGAGGACAAGACCTTGCCATGGCTTGTGTCCCCAAAGCTCCTGATACAGTGCCTGGCATTTAGCAGGTGCACCCCAACATGTCCTTGCTTCCTAGCATCCCCAGCTCTCAATTCCCAGGGCCTGGAGAAGCTCTTTGAGCCGATGAAGTGTATCTTCCCTTACACAGGAGAAGGCAATAAATCAATAAAGGTGCTCAACAAGATAAAAAGAAGACCAGGGCATCTGCTCTAAGCAGATGGTTGAAATCAACATGTTTCCTGAGGAAGTTTTGACCAATCACCTCAAAAATGTACTGCTGTTTCAAGTATTAGAAGAGGTTTAACAATAAAAATATGCCCCAGACAAGAGCCTCTGTCAGATACGGAGCTCAGCCAATATCCCTGCGTTAATCTTGTCAGTCAGATGTTGGTGACACTGGATACTAGTAATGAGTGTCACAATCGGTGTAATTGGGTGCTCCTCTTGTGAAATGTAGCCTCATGGCCTCAGAACTTTCTCCTCTGTGGAAAGATAGAATTTTACCCACATATCATCTTTTTGGTCATTTCTGTGGTGGCACCGGGGTACAGAAAAGCTTCAGGGGGGACGCTGTTCCCCTGCCAAGGCAAGGCTGGCTACCCTGCTGGTTATCTCCAGCTTCAAAGTGATGGAGACGGGGTTAGGGAAATAAAGATCAGGAGGGACAGGGAGGCATGTTGTGGCAGATTGAAAAGTTGGACCAAATTCTTACATGTCCCTGTAGGAGTCTTCTATAGCCACACCTGGTCATAGTTCCATGAGAGACAGGGCGGTTCTTTGACATTGAGCTTAGCCATGTAACTGGCTTTGGCCAGTGGAATGTCACAGGTGTGACGTGAGCAGAAGACAGAAATGTGATTGCACATTGGGTACTCTCCCTTGTACCACTGCCATTTCCAGGAGAAGTGTGTGCTCTCTCAGTCTAAACCTAGAAGGCGACATGGAAAAGGTAGCAACCTCAGCTGAGCCTAAAACAAAACTGAATCCCAAGTGACTCACGGGATTCATGAGCAAGAAAGGTGAATATGTGATGTAAGGCATTGATGTTTCAAAGCTGTTTGTTATGCAGCATTATGTGATAATAGCTGACTGATACACAGGAAAAAGCTGTGTGTGTGTGTGTGTGTGTGTGTGTGTGTGTTTGTGCATGTGGTGAGTGCACATAATCATGTTGAGAGATTCAGTTCCTTTCTCAGGATTCCAGCCAGACTTGACAGCTCATAGGCAGCTGCTTCTTAGTCTCCCTGGTTCCCTGGTGGTCTATGACGCTGTGCTTGTCAGAGAAGTTTATGGGATGTGGGAACAGTCAAGCCTTCTGAGTTATCTGGTGTGGTAGGTTGTTGCATTAATGACCTCCAATGAATTATGCCTCCCGTGTCAGTGCCCTTCCGTGGTCCTTTTCCAGATTGACCCTGGGCTTGGCTATGTGACTCACCTAGCCAGTAGATAGTGACAGCATGATGCTTCTTTAGTTCTTGTGTGCAGAGATTGTGTTCTCTTGCTGCTGGGAACTCATTTTCCAGCTTGTGAGAAAACTGAGTTAGCATCCTTGAGAATTAAGAGACCAGGTGAACCGACGCCCAGGCACCCAGCAGTCCTGGACACAGGAATGAGGCTGCCCTCCATCTTCCAGTCCAGATCAAAAGAACGACTGTCTAGCCACAGAGCATAAGAACTAGTACTTGTTCTAGTACATTGTTGGAGTGTTTGCTTATACTGCAAAAGTCCATGAACACACTGAGGCAAAAGATAGTTTGGAAAAGCAGTGAGGCCTCATTCATGCACGTGCACTTAAGCAGCTCTTACTGTGTTCTAGACATTGTGCTATGGGCTAGGCTTGAGATTTGGAGGTAGGGGACAGTGTTATTTTTTATAGAGACCCAGAAGACAGATAGCATGGCAGAAGCTTTGTCCAAAGGAGACCTGTGAGTGGTGGACATTGACACAAGGGGAAAATGGGCCATCCAAGGCAGAGAAGGGCAAACCAAGAAAATGGTGACTATGACCCATGCAAAGGTCTGAACTTCAGGTTCAGATTGGCTGACAGTGTGGTGGCAGGTGAAGAAGACTGAAGGACCTAGAACTTGGAAGAGCCTGCTCCAGGCAGGAAACTGTTGTTGTTTAACTGCAACAGCAGGATAATGAGAATAATACATCTGTTGAACAGCCTCACATATCATTTCCCATTCAATTCTCATGAGCCTGTGAGTAGGTGGGCCAGATGTTCTCGGCTGTACTTCACCCAAGTGGACCTGAGGTACAGTGACCTACCCAGGGCCACCTGGCCAATAAGAGGCAAAGCTGGGTTCCGACCAAGTGTAGGGCTGCCTGGGTACATCCGTCCATGCACGGAAAGATCTCGTGGGATCTGGAGCTCAGCATTGGTTGTTCAGTGGCTCTGAAGACCTTGAGGATGCAAGACTTGGAGGAAACAGCAAGTATTGGGGTGACATGGTAAGTGCTGGGTGTTGGTCAGAGCAAAGAGCCAGGCTGAAGGGAGTTGGTTGGATGACCAGGATCCTGAAAGAAGAGGCTGTGTAGTGAGCAGGGCAGATATTAAGCCAGTCAGTGAATGAACCAACCTCTCTACTACTCATCTGCCAAATCATCAACCAATCCTTCATCCACCATCCATGCATCTAACTATCCAACCACTCCCTCAACCAGTCAACTACCCATTTACCTGTTAACCAGCTATCCATCCAGCCATTAACCAACTACCCAATCAACCAACCATTTAAACAAATAAACCACCACTGAACCTGCCAACAGACAACCAAGTATCCAAGTGACAGTTAGTTCCTATTGTGGGCAATGTATGTGCTAGCACTAGGGGACAAACAGAAGTGACTTGGGGTCTCACTAGATTCCTTTTGCTCCCCCACCCCTCCCACTTCCACCCCATGTGCAAGGAGTTAAAAAATATTGATCTTAAAAATATCTTTTGAAGTTGACTTCCCTGTCTACCTCCACTGCTCCTTTCCAAGTCTGGGCCACCACCACCTTTCCTTGGCTCCTGGAAGCCTCTCACCTGGTTCTTCAGGTCCTGCTCCTGCCTTTTGACAGAGATTGACTGCATCCCTGTCCTTCTTCCAGATTCTAGTGGTGTCCTCATCATACTTGGAAATAAATCTAGGCTTCTTGCCGGGAACTCCGACTCCTGCCATCAAAACTCCATGACTGACATCTCTGACCCCCCTGCCACCCCTCCTTCGTCATCTTCCCTCACTCCACCATTTCTGGTGTTCCTTTTGTTACTCCCACTTGGAAGCTTGTCCCTCCCTTGCTCTGTGCTCTGGAATGATCCATCCTCAGATCTCAACATGGCTGCAGTGTCCTAGGAAGTCTAACCTCAATTCAGGTTATCACCTCATCGGAGAGGCCTTGCCCAAGTGCCTGCTCTGAAGGCCACCCCTGTCACTCGCTCATCATGCTGCTCCGGGTTCTTCCCAGAACCTGTCATTCTTCAGTTTATGTGTTTAGTTGTGGGTTGTCGGTCTAGATCTATAGAATAAGCTGGACAAGATCAAGGGCCTTGTCTGTCTCAGGCATCACTGTGTCTCTAGAACAGCAGCTGGCACCTCACAGGCCCTCAGGAAATGGCAGTTGTTCATATTGTGCCCACCACCCAATTTCTCCCCGTTGCCTAATTTCTTGTGTTCCAGAATGCTCTGCTTGATGCTTCCTTCCACTTCAACAGTCCTAGTTCTTTGTGAGAGAAGACATGCTCCTTTCTTGTTGTCATCCATCCCACAGGTCCCCAGGGAATGTCCACACCATAACAGCAGCTGATACATGACAGGTATCCAGTCATGTGCCTGAGGGCAGTGTTGACCGACCTCATTTTCAGACCCAGGCCTAGTGGGATTTGGTCTTTATGATGTGGCAGACTTGCTGTTCAAGTACAGGCTACAGCATCCAATATGGCAGCTCATCAAGGTCTCTGTGTTTGGTCCTATACAGCAATGGTGGCTACTGCCTGTCCAGGAGGCAGCCTGACCTGCACAGCAGTGGACATGGTGGCCTTCTGGGCACTATGTTCCCTGTTCCCATTCATCATTTGTCCAGAGGACCTGGACTCAGAGAAGAAGAAATTCTATTGAGGCATTCAAATGACAAGAATCAATGATCTGGGAGCATTTTTTTTTTTTTTTTTTTTTGTGAGAGAGAGTAGAATAAGAGTCCAGGAAGCTATTATTTTGCTTAGCATTCATTAAAGGTTGCTTTCTGTTCCTGTGGAATTCCATAGTCCTCCCAGGACACAAAGCCTGGATGCCATCCTTATATGAGGACATCTTTCACCTTCCTTTCTGGGGCCTCACCACTGCCCAGAACTCCCCTTCTGTCCCGTGTGGGATTAACCAGATGGCGCCCAGGTGGAGTCTTGGAGGGGCACTGGCAAAGCTCAGGCACATTTGAGCAAGCAGCCTAACTGGAGAACGTGACTCTTGCCGGTGAGGAGTGCTGTAATGCCGTATCCATGTCAGGAGTGCCGCAGTGAACACAATATAGTATGAGAAGTCTAAATTCCCTGTGTAGAGAATTTACTAGACCACTGAGTGTTTTCATTCATGTATTTCCAAATGTCTTTTCCATATTCATTTCCTTATTAGGAAGAACCTACAGAACACAGTCTTTGGCTTCAAGGCTTGGAGCTTGCAAGATGGGCAGCAGCGTGAACCCAGTGACCACAGGGCCAAGCGGTTCCTGGTTGAAGAGCAGTGGAACCTTGGGTCTGCTTTCGATGGCTTTTGATTTTGCTGTTGACCGTCATCACTCATTGCCATTGAGTCTTCCCTTCAATATCCAGTTTCTAATCACATTAATTTCTTTTCTAGTAAAATGGGGATCAAAACAGTTGCTTATTCAGGTGGCTTGGACACTCACCAGCAGACACCCTGTGAAACCCTCCTGAGCACACACTTGTCACGGGAATGGAGATGCCCAATGCCACACGGGGTCTGTACCCTCACGGAGCCCACGCCCAGTGCTGGCAACCAGACATGAGCCTCCAGAAGGAGTCACCACGGGGGCTGGTTTTGGAAAGGCCCCTGAGGGGTCAGTGAGCAATGGCGAAGAACCGGGGAGGCTATGCTCTCCAACCTGGGCATAGCTGAGCTCACTGTGGGAGCAAGAGGGAGGTGGCCTGGGGACCTTCCCAGGTTGCTGAGATATGACTTATAACCAGGTGATGACAGATTCAAATGAGACTTTTCTAGAACACCTCTGCCCTCTGTATATCCCAGCTAGTCCCCTTCAAATGCAGCTAATAGATTGGGGCCAAATCTCTGTGACTTAGTGTCCCATCAGGATGGGTGGACCTCCTG